ATTTGATGTTAATATGGTATTATTACTGAAAGATGTTAAGAAGAAAATGGGGAATTTTACAATATTTAAATGTGTAATGTACTTAACAAATTATAAAATTAGTGTTAATGTGAACGTGAAAGATGTGATAAATGAGGAACGATGTAGCACAGAGCTGTACGTATCCAGATGACACACTGCATAAGGACAGATGGAATGTTTTATCTTTGTCTTTTGTTTTTTTTAAAAAAATATATAAAAAAGAAAAAGAAAAGAACTGTCTCATGCAGTCTTCTGTTTTTGTTTCCCACGAGCTATTATCCTTGCACTTTTTTATCTTTTATACTCCCATTTAACAGTAGCACTACTGTATGTCACATTTTTATGGCAGCAGTTCTAAGGACAGCTGGCTACAGAGTTATCATATTTTGCTTGCATAAAGTGCTTGAATCAATAGGCAATTCACTGGCAGTGGCAATATTCAGGTAAAGGCAGATAAAAGTGATTTTAAACAGACTCTTACAACAAATAAGATTAAGAGGTTTAAAAAGCTTTGTGTCCTCTTCTATTAAGTAGGCAGTTGTCATTGCAAACATTACTGTTGCTATTGAAAGTATTAATTGTAATAAATTCTTTGAAATATAAGCAAAGCATAATTTTAAAAATACAATATCTGACCCTTAATATCAAAAGATGAAAAAGTCTTCAAAGTCATTTTCAAAGAACAATTGTCTTGACTTGTCAAGCAACGAAGATTCATTGCTGTGAAAAAATATCCACAGGCTGCCCTTTAAATCTTATGTCATCTTTCAAGACTACCTTTTAAACTTAAAGTAAGAATTAGCAAGATTTTAATAGTTTCTTCCTAAGTAGGTGAATAGGAAAATTAAACAACTGAGAGCATATTAAGGTGAAGGGAAAACTCAAGCCGTCTATAAAAGACTATAGAAAAAGCTAAATGGTACTATAAGAGGTGACAAATCAAAGCTGTGAAGGGGCAAGAATGCTCTATCTTTCAGTTCCATTCAATCATATCCAATCCAGTAATTGTTCTTTTACCCATTGGGGAAAAGAAATATTTTCCTCTAGTAGTTTATGAGAAGCCAAAGAGCCAATAGCTGCAGCCGGATAAATGAAGCAGCCTTTTGCCTGTTGCCATACAATACTTCTTCTGAATCACTCCAGAAACCAGGACATGGAATAACAAATGTCAGTTCCAGAAAGGCTGATTAATTAACCCTGAAAATGAAGCAAAATGCATGAATGCCACAAAGCAGAGACCCCAGAAGCAATGACTCTGCCATTCTACTAATTTTTCATTCTCTGCAGTTGGGTGGTGTTTTTTGTTTGTTTGTTTGTTTTTGAAAAAACAAAGGGGCGGGATTAACTTTCATTGATTTATACTGCAGTGGACTGACTGCACTCAGAATATTGTCCAGTTCTGGTCACCACAATACAAAAAAGATGCTGAGACACTAGAAAGAATAGAGAGAACAACAAAGATGATTAAGGGACTGGAGGCTACAGCATATGTTGAATGATTGAGAGAATTAGGTATCCCTAGACTAACAAAGAGAAGGATTAGGGATGACATGATAGCTGTCTTTCGGTACCAGTGGGGCTGTCACAGAGAAGAAGGGGTCAACTTATTTTTCAAAACATCTGAGAGCAGAATGAGGAGTAATGGGTGGAAGATAATTAAAGAGAGATCTGTTAAATGTGTTCAAGGATCGTGCCCAATAACTCCATAAGCAGATATTCATTGAATCAGATATTGTTTATTAATGAAGCATCTTATCATTACAGGTACAAGTCTGGAACTGAGGCAGGACCGCATGGCTGACCCTTAAGTACCCCCTGGGCGTGGCTAAGGTAAGGAGGGGTTATTGGGTTAGGGTGGACCTTGGGGCTGGCTTGTCCAGCCCCCCTGCCTCTAGCTCTGGGTCAGAGGCAAGGCATTTATTCCTGACAAAACCCCCTCTAAATGCCTGGCCGAGGTGTTCTTGGGTGGTGCATACCTGAGGTGTCTTTTTTAGTAGGACACCTAATTTTGATGTTAGATATGTGTGCTGTTTGTTTTGCAATGGTTTTGTTAGAATATCCGCTGTTTGTTCTTCTGTGTCACAATGTATAACTCTTATGAATCCTATGCTTGCGAACTGTCTAACGTGTTTATACTTTATGTCGATATTCCTCGACCTTTGACCCACTGCTTCAGCCTTTGATATTTCCATAGCAGCTTTATTGTCCTCGTGCATGATGATGGGATAGTTCGGTTCGGCCCATATGTCTGCGAACAGGTCATCAAACCAGACCAGGTTGTTGGCGGCCTTGGATAAACAAATATATTCGGCCTCTGTTGTGGATGTAGCTACCAGATCCTGTTTGCCTGTGTACCAATGTACTGGGCTGTTGTTTAGAAAGAATACGTAACCTGAAGTGCTCTTTCTGCTTTTCACATCCCCAGCCCAGTCAGCGTCTGCATAGCATGTGAGTATGGGTGTTGTGGTATTCTCGGGTTCCAGTGCTAGGCAAGCATCGGAGCTATGCTTTAGGTATCTCAATACCCTTTTGATGGCTTCCCAGTGGTACACAGTGGGTTTACCTACATGTCGGGACAGCAAGTTAACTGGCAGGGTGATGTCTGGCCTTGTCCAGTTCGCAATGTATAATAGGGAGCCTATGGTGGATCTGTATAATGTGTTGTCTTTGAATGCCTCAGCCTCATTATACATGTCCTTCAAGAAGTCTGGTTGCATTGGTGTTTCGCACCCCTTGGCGTTTGTCATGTTGCATTTATGTATCAGTTCCAAAATTTTGTCTTTCTGTGACAGTTGGAAACCTCTGTCTGTTTTTGTGATTTGCACCCCCAAGTATTTATCTACCTTACCCAATATCTTCAGTGTAAAATGTTTTCCCAACTCATTGGCGAAGTCATTACATTTGTTAGACTGATCACCGATATACAATATATCGTTCACGTATATCAAGACATACTCGAGGGAATTGTCTGACTTCTTGGTGAAGAAGCAGTTGTCGGCCGAGGTGGCTGAGAATCCCATGGACTTCAATGTCTTGGATAAGCATTCGTACCAGCGTTTCCCTGACTGTTTGAGTCCATACAAGCTTCGGTTTAGGATCCAGGTTTCTCCCTTCCTGGTTTTTGGCTAGGTGGCGCTCTCACGTATATCTCTTTATCGAGCTCAGCGTGCAGATACGTGGTTTGCACGTCGAATTGATGTACTTCTAACCCAAGTAGTGATGCAATTGCCAACGCACATTTTATGCTTTCAGCCCTGACTGTGGGAGAGTACGTTTCCGTGTAATCATCAGGGTATTTTTGGGCGAACCCCTGTGCCACCAGCCTAGCCTTGTAGAGTGCTTTGTTTCCTCACAGGGAAGCTAATGTGTCCTAGTCTTCTGTGTAATAGGTGGGCACAGTTGTCATGCATTAGCTTTCCTATCGCTGGCTTTTCTTTCCTGGATGTCCCCTGCTCACTTGGATCATCAGTGGTGTGTGTGTGACTAACCCCCTCTATTTCCCCACTTGTGTTGTCTGGGTTGTCGGGTCTAACCTTCCGGTGATTGTTTACCTTGGGCTGTTTGTCCCTGACTGGGTGGAAGAATGGCAGTTCCCCACTGATTACTACTTTCCCTATTCTTTTGCCCCTCTAGTTACCTGTGCCTTTCCTTCCTTGAATGTCACCTCGACATTGTTGTCCTTGCTTAGTTTTAGGGTGGCAAGGATGCTATAGGGTATATTTGGCACTAATAGCACTCCTTGTATTACTCCTATCCCCGGCACGTATGCGTTACCTTTACCTGTTACTTGCACATTGTTCTGGTTAGCCACTTTTATTATAAAACTTTCTTCTGTAAATGAGGTTAGCAAGTTACGGTCATATGTGGTATGGTTTGTGGCCCCTGAGTCTAGCAGCCATGTGCCTTCCTCCCTGTCCTGGCCTATGTGTCGCTCTTGATCTCCTATGCCATACAGTGATCCAGTCTGGCTCTCCCTGGAGCTGTCCCTGTGGTTTCTCCTATCCCTGGGGCTAGGGGAATCCCTATGCCTGTGTCTGTCCTCTGGTGAGCGTCTGCTAGTGTATCTTGCCCTTTGTTCTGGTCTGTCCCTTCTATGTGACCTGTCCCTGTCCCCTGTGTTTCTAGGGCAGTCCCTTTTGTAGTGGTTTCTTGACCCGCATATGTAGCATTCTGTGTTACTGTAGTTCCTACCCTGTGGCTCAGCCTTCCTGCTGGGTCTTTGCTCTCTGCGGCTTAGTGAGCGGTCTTTCCTGATGCTGTCTTCAGCTATTAGTTTGCTTGTTAGTAATTCCAGTGAGAGTTTCCCTGACCCTAGGTTGTCTATCTGCATGATGAAGGTGTCCCAGCTGGGGTCTAGGGAATTTACAATGATGCTTATCATGGTCCTCTCACTTATGGCCTCCCCCCTTTGTGTCAGCTGAGCCCTGGTGGTATTTAGTGACAGTAAATGTTCACTCATTGGGGTCCCTGCTTTAAGTTTGGTGGCGTAGAACTCCCTGGATAACCTGGTGGTGCTTGCTACGCTTTGGCAGTAAAATAGTTTGTGCATCCTCTGTATTACCTCTAGAGCAGTCAAGTGGTGGCTAATGCTGGGGTAAATACTGGGAGTAATGCTGGCAATAACAATACAGTATGCTTTATGGTGGATGCAATCTAATTCAAAAGTCCAGGGTTTTTCTGGGGGGTCAGTGACTAGGGATAGTAGATCTTCCTTTAGCAGGGTGACTTGGAGCTGCTGGTTCCAGTCCAGGAAATTCTCCCCATCTAGTCTTAGTTTGGGAAAGTCACTTGGCAAAGTCCCTGAATTGTAAGTTAAATTACTTACATTATGTCGCTGTCCATGGTTCCTCACGTAAGGGTACTCACAATAAGGCAGAGGAACGACTGTGGCAAGTCTGAACTGACTTGTCTCTGTGTGCTTGCGTCGGTGTAGCTCTATGTCTTGTTCCGTTTCTCTTACAGGGATGCATTGTGCATGCGTGAGGTTCATTTCTGCCCAGCCGCCGTGGAGTGAGGAGCTCGTCCCCGCAGCTCCCGGGTGAAGGCCCCAATCTTCCGGATGGGCCTTCGGTTCCTCCTTGGTCGGCCTCGCTTGTTCGGGATCGTCGCGGATCGTCGTCTGGAGCCTCGGGAAGCGGTGAGGGTCGTCGGTGGAGGTCAGAAGTCCCGTTGGGGCCGCGAATGGTCCCGGATGGCCCGGCTTTGTGTGGGTGTCGCCTCCGGGTGTTGGGCCAAGTCCCCTGCCTGCCGATGGACGTCCCCTGCCTGCGGATGGCCCCGTGGGCCATGGATCTGGTCCCGGTCGTTGGTCCGGTGAGTAGTCCCATCGCCTTCGGTGCCCTGTTTTTATGGGGAGGCTCCTTGGGAGCTCTGGGTGGCCCTGGGCCCATGCGGTGGCGGTCAGTTCCCCAGGGTGGGTGCCGGTGTCAGCCCTCTTCGTGTTAGGGTCCCCTTTGCACTTTGGCCTGGCACCGGGGTGCATGTTTGGTAACTTCATCTTGTCCCCTAGGGCCGCGGTGATTAGTTCGATGGCTTTGTTGACCTCGGGCTCGGTAGGCGGGCCTGTAGGTTTTGGCTTTGGGCTTTCTTGTTTTTTGTGGTAGTTTTGGCGGCTACTTTAGAGTAGGCCCCAATTCCCGCCATGAGATTCAAATCTCGGGAATCTATTGCTGGGTGGTCGGCCATTTTTGATGATGCCGCCTCCCAAGATGGCCGCTGTAAAAAGGGTGCGAAGTCTCCTTCGGCCTTTTCGGTGGGTTTCTGGTGAGGGAAGTCCTCCCTTACCGCATCTTCATCGCTGTAATCGGATTCGTCTTCATCTTCCTCACTCGCTGCTTCGCAGCCTTTGATCAGGCTTCGGAGTTCTGCGATGAGGTCGGTGTTGCTTTGTGACAAATCTATCAGCTCCAGGAGTTTTCCTTTTAGGTCGTGCTTTTCTCCTTTTGGGGTTTCGTGTTTCTTCCACCCCTCGTTGCTTCTGGCCGGGGTGCATGGGTGGTGGAGTAGGCCGCTCGTCTCGGGTGCCTCTCCTTGCGTGGCTTCGGGTTGGGCAGGCCGTTCTGCCATCTTCTTGGTGAATGCTCTGGTATTCACCCTGTCTGTCGTGGTCCTTTGCATGTTGTGGATTGGGCTATTAAACCATCCTCTGCTACCATATTGTTAAATGTGTTCAAGGATCGTGCCCAATAACTCCATAAGCAGATATTCATTGAATCAGATATTGTTTATTAATGAAGCATCTTATCATTACAGGTACAAGTCTGGAACTGAGGCAGGACCGCATGGCTGACCCTTAAGTACCCCCTGGGCGTGGCTAAGGAGGGGTTATTGGGTTAGGGTGGACCTTGGGGGCTGGCTTGTCCAGCCCCCCTGCCTCTAGCTCTGGGTCAGAGGCAAGGCATTTATTCCTGACAAGATCTAACCTAGAACTAAGGAAAAATTTCCTGACAGTAAACAATCAGTGCCTCCAGAATTGTGGGTGCTCTATCACTGGAGAGTTTCAAGAAAAGATTGGACAACGGTGTCCAGAATGGTATAAGGTTTCTTGCTTGAGCAGTGGGTTGAACTAGAAGACCTCCAAAGCCTTTTTATTCTGTGTTATATTAATCAGAAAATACCAGCAAGAGATCATAAAGATACCAGCTTAAAAAGTAGGACTGCCATGACCAATGTTACTACCAGCTGTGCATGTTGTTACATACAAATATGTTTTATTGCTAATGGATCACAGCTCAGCTTCAGCTTGAGGAAAAATGAAAGTCAAATGGAATTGGGGCAATTTGGGATGTATTGCGATTCACCTGATGAATTCTAACCATTTGACCTGATTCAAAATTCTCCATGCATACTACCCCTAATTTGTAATCTAATTTATATAATTTAGGTGCTGAGCCCACTATGATGTAAATAATGGAGATGCTGTAAGAGCTCTGGAGGAAATTTAAGAAAACAAAAGAAGCAAAATAGAATACTAATGTAAGACTTTTGCTATGAAGCTTGTTTGTTTACCATATTTCAGCCTATCAGCTGCACATCCAGCAGATTGGAGACATTCTGAATACATATTTTCTCCCAGACATCAAAGGCAGATTTGCCACTCTGCTGCTCTATTTGGGAGACAGCAGCTTTGGGTTTTTTTGGAGGCTGCAGGGAGAACTGTGGTGAAAAGGAGGAAAGAGGTACACCAAGGGTGTGGGAGGTGGAAGAAAAGGGCAGAGAAAGCTATTAGAGCTATTAGAGAAAGCTATTTCTGGTTGAAATGGAATGTCCAGGTAACATTCCATTGAATCTGATTCAATGATAGTATAGAGGAGTAGGAAAAATATTAGTACATACTGATTTTTTGGGTCTGGGTTTTGTTTTTAGTTTGGCAGACTTACAAATTGAGCACTCGAGATAATTGTCACAATTCTTTATTTTTAAACCATTAGTATATTTCTTCATTTTTTATACTGTGGGGAAACTTATATGACCTAATTTCCTATGTAGGAGATGTGCACAATCATCATGTAATAGTTTCCCTATAGAGGGCTTATCATTTTGAGTTTTTGGTTGATTGTCATTAGTTGTTTGATTTGGTGCTGTGAGTGTATTGGTGAGATATTGATTGGTGTATGTTGTGTTGAGATAAGGCAAACCATCAATAATAGTGGTTCTTCCTATACGCATCCCGTTCTTGTTCATGTAATCTTGGCCTGCCTTAATTTCAATTTCTATATTTAGATCTTGGCTGAGTCGAATGGCAGCCAGTATATTGTATGGAATATCGGGTGTAACCAGGACCCCCTCTATTTTGCCAATTTCTGGTAAGATTATATCTCCTTTTCCAATTGTTTTGACTTTAGTCTGATTGGCTACTTTGATTGTGGAATCTTAATTCACAAATGAAGATAATATACTAGCATCATATGTGGTGTGGTTGGTTGTGCCCGAATCGATTAACCAGAGGTTTTCCTTTTTGGTGTATTTGTTATTGTATCCCCGCTTAGTTAGCCCGTATAGTGATCCTGAATATCTTTCTTTGGAGGTGTCTCTACGTTCTTTTCTGTTGTTGGGGTTTGGAGAGTCTCTACGTCTAAATCTGTGTTCTGGAGAATGTCTATATCTATGTTCTGCTCTGTCTCTAAGATAATTATGATCTTTACTTCGAGTGGCTTTGGGGCAATCCCTTCTGTAATGACTCTTAGATCCACATAAGTAACATTCAGGGTGATGATTGTGTCTGTCTACAGTGAGTGGCCTTTTATCTGTTTTATATTCTCTACGAGACATGTTTCTATCCTTTCTTAAGTTGTCTTCTGTAATCAGTTTGCTAGCTAGGTTTTCCACTGTCAAGTGCTCTATGTTGAGACTATCTAACTGAGAAATTGTCCCAACTTTGATCTAAGGAATTAATAATTATACTTTTCATGCTTTCATCTGTTATATTCTCACCTCTTTGAATTAATTCTGCTCTAGTAGCGTTAAGTGCAAGCAAGTGTTCACTCATAGACATATCTATTTTCAGTTTAGAGGAATAGAATTCTCTGGAGATTCTGGTAGTTGTTGCCCTACTTCTGCTGTAAAACAAATTAAACAGTTTTTGAATCAATTCAGTTACAGTTAGATGGTCACAGAGACTGGGGTAAATACAAGGAGATATACTAGCAATTAACAAATAGAAAGCCCTGTGATGTAGGCAGTCCAACTCAAAGGACCAGGGTTTCTTTGGTGGATTATTGATTAGAAATAAAATGTTTTCTTTTAGAAAAATAATTTGCAATTGTTGGTTCCATTCAAGTAAATTAGTTCCATCAATTTTAAGTTTGGGAAAATCAACAGGTAGAGATCCATTGTTATATGGTGTATTACTTACAGGCAGGCGCTGTCCATGGTTTACAACATGAGGAAACTCACAATATGGCATTGGAATAGAGTTAGGCAGTCTGTAGTTACTTGCTTCTATGTCTCTCTCTTGTTTCACAGTAGGCAGCTTCTGCGCATGCTCAGCCCTCATTTGAGCTTTGCAGTCGTCAAGGAAGGACCTCTCCGCTGGAGCTCTTGATTGCAGGCCCCACTCGCCTAGGTAGACAGTCGGATCTGGTCCGGAGGCCTCAGGGAGACTGAAAAAGTCCCGAATCTTCGTGTGGCTCTTCAGGACGTCCTTCTGGATCATTGTTTGGTGTTGAAGATCTGCGGGGAAGTGCTGGACACCATGGAGGCTCGACTCTGCGTTTCGTCTGTCGATGGGGAGTGCACCGAAGATGTCGTCAGTCGCTGGATCGGGATGGCTCTTCGGTGTCAGCAGGACTGGTAAGTATTTTTCTCGTTCTTTTGGGATCAGTGTGATTGTTATTTGTTTTTCGGGTGCGTCCCAGCGTTGTAGTGCAGGCATAGAGGTATTGATTTGGTCGTGGTAGTTTTTAAAGCAGGCTTTGGTAGGATCTATTTCAGCGTGGCAGTCTTTTACTTTATTTTTAGAAATGTTTGGATTTTTATTTATTAGTTTTACATTTTCACCGAAGGCAGCTGTTATGATTTGCATGGCCTTTTCTATTTCTTTTCTGCTTGGTGGTTTTTTAGTGGGACTATAGTTTTCTTCTTCACTTTTGTCATCACTGTCCGATAGGTTTTCTAGTGAGTAGGCCCTCGTTCCCGCTTTAGTATTTGAATTGGGAGATTCCCTCCCTGATTGGTTGGCCATTTTATTTAATGTTTCTGGGCAAGATGGCCACCGCGAAAAATGCGCGAAAGCCGTTTCTGTCTGTTTGGTGGGTGTTAGACAAATAGAGGAATCTCTTACCAGATCGAGGTCTTCGGGTTCAGATTCTGGTTCAGGTTTGTCGTTCTTGGTCGCTGCTCCACAGTCTTTTATTAGATCTTGGAGTTTCACGATCAAATCTTCTTCACCTGGTGTGTTGTTGATCATTTCTAGCAGGTTTCTTTTTAGATTGTCTTCTTTGTTTGGAGAGGTTTCAATGAGGTTTTCTTTTTCATTTTCTTTCGTTGAAGTTTCTTTTGATGCGTTGGTCTCTGGTGAGAGTTGGGCTGCCATCTTTTGGGTGCAGGCCCGAGTGTTATTTCTTTTTCTTTTGGATTTTTGAATTTTGTTGTTTTCAGACATATCTGGATTTAATTGGGCTGTAAACCATCCTCTGCTACCATATTTGTCAGAATTCGAGGATCTTGCCCAATGATTACTCAGAGTCTGTTATGATATTATTTATCCTTTATTTTCATCTATTCTCTTACAGGAGATATAGCAGAAGAACCAAGAGTCAAGGAGGAGTCGATATATATATATACAGAGGAGGAGTGGTTAGAGGTAAGTAGGAGTGGTTATGGGGGTGATGTAGGCAGAGTGGGAGGTAACCATAAATATATACACAGGCAAATATATATATTAGGCATTTACATATGTGACAAAACTGTCCTTTAATATTCTATTGGCTGTTGTCAGATTACTATGGGAGTCATGAAGGGGTTATGTAGGGGTCATAGCTGGCTCTATAGGTAAAAGAGGAAATGCAAATCCTAGGGGTTTGTCTAAGATAATTTGGTCAACCTCTGGCTTATTGTTTATCAGTTCCAAGGCTTCTGTGACTTTGAAGTTTGGATTGCTCTGGGGGTGGTGCAATGAAGGGGCTTGTGTTCTGAAAGGGTGTTGGCCAATTCCTATTACTGTATGGCTAATGGCTTTCCTCCTGTGTTGGATGAGGTGAGGGGCTGCTTCTAATCCTATCACTCTGCTTTGGTTAGTTGTCAAACTTTGCTGCAAGCAGTTTTGAAATATCCTGGCTTGAATGAATTTCTCCTGGAGTATTTGCTTTGCTTATGAATAGAGCCGTCTAGATAGTTGGCTTCTTCTTTCAATACACTCTTTATCTCTTTTAAGTGCTGGCATCTGCTGTAGGCTATTAAGAAAAAATGGGGGCTGCTTCCTGCCTCTAAAACATATTTCTCCTTTAGGGAAATATAATATTCTGCCTTTTTAATATTTCCCCAAATATTTCATTCTTCTGGGGGGTAGGTGCTGACTTTCTACAATAGCTTTGCCATAAAATATGGGCATTCAGCTTGCAGCAGTAAATACTTAAATCAGACCAGGCTCTGCAAAATAGTTTTACAATCAAAGATATTTTATTTTATTGATATTGATTGAGAATCTGAATACCACTCCTATCTATAGAAGACCAGTGATCTGATGAGATCAATGTATTAGACATTTTCCTCTTTTGACTCAGTCAGAAGCTATTGTGTCATTATAAAATTGGGCAGTTCTGAAAGTATTTTTTTCAGTGTTACTTGAAGTTAAAAGGATTGAAGTTAAAAGGATTTCCACATTGGAAAATTTCTTCTCTTTAATAAAATTTAATTTCGTCTGTACTCTGAAAGACTGGGTTATCACTGGGTATAGCCCCACCCCATCTATTTCCTGCCTCCCAAGTCCTGGCTGATCGGGAGGAAGTGGGGATTTTGCAGTATTCTTCCCCTGCCACGCCCACCAAGCATGCCACGCCCATCAAACCACACCCACAGAACCAGTAGTAAAACATGTTGAAACCCACAACTGGTGTGTTAGGTAATGGTAATTAGAAGTGTGGATTTTGACCAGAAGCATCACGGCAAGACAGTCGGGGATTAGCAGGCTCTGATGAGCCCCGTGAAATCCCAGGCTGACGAACCACTGCAGAGGGGTCTTCGGACCAGATCTGTCCTGTAGGGACAGAGAAGAAAGAGAGGCACCTCGGAAGACCAAGAGGAACAGGCAAGTTCCTCGGAGGTCAGAGGAAATTCTCTCTAACTCTGCAGCGGGCGGCGGGGGGGGGGCTTGGCGGTCATTACGACCGCTAGTAAGTTGGGGCAACCAGATTAAGCGATGTGCAGGAGTGGAGAATTGAATGGAACATTGCTGCCGGGTGAGTGATATCTAACTCATAGGCAGAAAGGAAAAGAAAAAGGAAGGATTTTTAAAACAATTACAAATGTCCTGGTGTCATTATAGTGGCTAATAGGCGTGGGAAAGGACGGAAGAAGAAGAGTAAGGCAGAAGTTACAAAGTAACAGAACCCGACTAGAAATCTGTTTGTTTTGGATTTAAAATACTTGGAGAACTTTTTAAAAAATTAGAAAAACCAAGAACCCGAAAAAATTCTTTTTCAATTTGGAAACTTTAAAGGGAGTTTTTAAAAAAAATGAAGAAAAGTCTGTAATAGAAAGGACTGGTTAATGACTGTAAATTGGAACCTAATTGGAATGTAACATGGAATTTGGACTATATAAATTTGGACTGAATTTTACATTGACTTGGTGTAAGTAAAAATTGCTAAAACGGACTGCAACCAAAATGGATGCCTTTTAAGCTTGCCAATTGTAAACGTGGATTGTAGAGAGCCATCTTCAGGAGGGGGGGAAAATCATTATAACATTGAACTTTTTAGAAAGAACAAAATGGCGCAGGAACTGAAGGAAATTATGATAACAATGTACCTATCATTGAAAATGGAAATAAGGGAAATGACTACAATGTTGCATGAAAAATTGAAACTTGATGACCAAAAAATTGATTTAGGATACATTCAAGCTGACAAAGAAACAACTAACAAAAAGCAAGGAAAAGAGACTGAAAATAAAGACAAAGACAAGGAGATTGATTATGGAAAATTAAATGATTATTACATTGGGTTTAACAATGGAAAAAATGGGAAAAGGGGAAAGAAAAAAGAAAAGAAAAGAAGATGGAATAGAAAGAATATAAAAAACTTAAATGATTACACTGAGGTTATCAGTGAGAAAATAAGAAAAAGGGAAAAGGGATGGAAAATAATGGGAAAGATACAGCAAAATAGAAGTGTTTATGACCTTAAAAAACGAAATGATTATATTGGGATTAGGGAAAAGAGAGATCAGGATTTTAAAATACGAAAAAGAAGAAGGGGTAAGAAAAAGAAAGTAAAATAGAAAAATAGAAAAGGAGAAAGAAATGGAAGGAGAATATGGGGTAAAGAAAAAGAATACTAGGGAAAAGATGAAATTTTATTTTTAATGAAGTGATTTTAAAACTATATGGGTGTATGAATAATTGGAATATTTTTAATTAATGAAGGGGATTATAATAAATGAAATATCCTTAGAAGTGTGAAGCTGCTACATTAAGGAGCAGGGTGTGGGACCAGGGTAGGAAGATACAGAGACTATCTGGAGCTGAACATGCTTCTGTAGAGATGCGAGTGGATTTTAGGAAGAGCCCTTTTATTCTACCATCTCTTATTATATTTGATAGCACAGTATCTGTTGTAGCGCGGGAATAACGAGAGGCACAAGCAGGCTAGTAACAACAGCTCTTTAATTCAGGGTGAGACTTCAGCAAAGCAACACAGGCAACAGCCCTCTTTATATACTTTTCAGGCGCGACCATGAACCAATCAGGATTCACTGTACATTTGAATTTCCCGCACAAAATGGATACATACATAACACCCCTCCACTCCCAGAAGGCACTTATTCTATCTATTTACATATTTACATACAAAATCACGCAGGTGACCAGGGCGTGTCTTAATCCTGGTTGACCTGCGCAGTTCAGTTGTTGGCGAGGCGTCAAGCCGGTCGGAGGGACCTCCCGTCTCTCCTGGCTCCACCAATGGAACCTCCTGGATTTCTCCGGAGGTGTGGCTATCTCTGGCTGGGAGTGTCGGCTCGCTGGGGCGGTGCTGGAACTCAGGGTTGCCAGATAACTATTCTGGCTTACTCGGGCTTGAGGTAGCTGTGTCAGGAAGACCTTGAAAGTTAGGACATGAGTTTTCGTTTTGTAAACGTTTACGCAATTGATCGATATGCCTTCTCCAAATTTTACCATGCCCTATTTCGACTGTATAAGACTTTGGGCCGGTAATTCCTACGATGGTTCCCTCCACCCATAAGGGCCCATTGGTGTAACTTCTAGCAAAAACTGGTGTTCCTACTTGGAATTGTCTTAATCCTCCCCCTTCCCCCTTGAAGCTATCGGGGGAGTAATTGGGATGCAGTCGGTCCAGAATGCATCTTAACTTTTGGCCCATCAAGAGCTCGGCTGGGCTGCGGCCCGAGGTGGGGCACGGGGTGGCGTGCTGTACTGCTAAGAACTCATCTATTCTAGCCTGCCAGTCCCCTGCATCAAGTCGGGACAGAGCTTCTTTGGCCGTTCTTACAAATTTCTCTGCAAGGCCATTAGAAGCCAGATGAAAAGGAGCGGATAATGCATGTCTTATGCCTAATTCGGCTAGGTAGCCTTCAAATTGCGTAGCCATGAATTGGGGCCCATTGTCGGATACCAGGGTGTCCGGCAACCCGTGTGTTGCGAATAGTTTTCTGAGTACTTTGATTACGGCCTCAGAAGTGGTAGATGGCATTAGGGCAATTTCGAGCCACTTAGAATATGCATCTACAATAATAAGAAAATTCTGGCCATGGAACGGGCCAGCGAAATCAATGTGAATCCTCCCCCAAGGCCCTTTTGGTTTTTCCCATTCACGGACAGGAGCTATGGGCAGATCTGGGCGGGACTCATGGCAGGGCCTACACTTCCCCACCCACTCAGTGACAACTTGGTCGAGATGTGGCCACCAAACATAACTACGAGCTAGGCCTTTCAGGCGAACAATACCAGGGTGTCCCTCATGCAACATTTCCAAAACTCTGTGCCTTAACCGCAAAGGGATGACCACCCTGTCTCCCCACAACAAGCAACCCCCCAACACTGACAGTTCATTTTTCTTGTTAAAGTACAATTGAAAGTCACCACTGTCCACCTTGGTAGGCCAACCCCTCGTTACCCAGCCCATTACAGTGCGCAAAACAGAGTCTCTGGCAGAAACCCTCGCCACCTCGTTTGAAGAAATGGGGCCCGGGGAAACAATGTCAAGCAGTAAAACCGGGGCTTCCGGGGTCGGGTTGTCCAACAATTTGGGCAAGGGGCATCGGCTGAGGGCGTCAGCATGTCCTAAAGTTTTGCCCGGCCGGTGGAGCAGTCTGTACGAGTGCGCGGCTAAGAAAATGGACCATCTGTCATCCAGGGGGAAAGAGCAGCCGGGGTCGGTTTATCTCCAGCCAAAAGTCCCAAAAGAGGCTGGTGGTCCATAACAAGTTCAAACGTGCGGCCAAACAAGTACTCATGAAACTTTTTGACCCCAGCCACAGTCGCTAGTGCCTCCCTATCTAGCTGGCTATAGTTTCTTTCTGCACTAGACAAAGTGTGAGAGTAATAGGCGATGGGCGCCTCTAACCCGTTCGGCAGTCTATGGCTTAAAACCGCGCCTACGCCAAAGGGGGAAGCGTCACAGACCA